GCCCACAGCTCAGCGGCCGTCGGCAGGCGGCGAAAGCGGTGCACCGCGACGCCCGCCAGCGCTGGCGGCGTGTCGCCTTGGCCCGCGAGCTGCAGGACCGCTCGCACGTCGGGGCCGACGACGATGGGCTCGTCGTAGTCGTCGAAGTCGGGCGTGAGGATGTAGCCGAGGCCCCCGTTGACGCCCAGCAAGAGGCGCTCGTGCCACAGGGGTACGCCGCCGACGCGGTAGCGCAGCACGTGGAAGCTGCCTGCCATCACTGCAGCGCAGGGGCGCGGCGATGTCAATGCCGTCCACGAACTCCACCACGGCGGGCGGCTGGCGGGGCGTCGGTCCGAGAAGCCGCCGCGCCGCCCAGGCGCCTCCCACGGCCCCGAAAGCGAGGCCGATGGTCAGCGCGGCCACCGAGTAGGCCGTGACGAGGCCCAGACACGAGGGCTCGACCACGTGCCTGCCCGCGCCAGCGCAGACGCAGGCGGGGCAGGAGAGGGTCGGAGGCGCGGGGCAGGCCAGGTGCGGCGAGCAGGCTCCGCAGCTCGGCGCGGCGGCCCGCGCCACGACAGTGGCCCCCAGCGCCTGCGCCCCGTACCTCAGGACGTCCGCCGCATGGTGGGCGATGTCTTGCATCACTGGGCAAGACACCTGAGAGACTTGAGAATGGAAGCGCGGCCCGAAAGAGAGCCACAAATAGCCGCGGGCAGCATAATGATGATGATGATGCGAACCCCCTGTCGGCATCTAGCGCTGGCTGGGAGTCGCTCCCTTCCGCCTCCGCCCGAGGGCCCGCGGCGAAGAGGCCCGGGGACTTCCCGACCCGCTAACCCCCGGGGCAGGGGGCTTCTCCGGAGCCGCGGGGCCGGCTTTTCATCCTGAGTTCCAGGAAACTGGAACACACACACACACACACACACACACACACACACACTCACACACACACACACACCGCTGGATGGGAAGCCCAGTCTACACGGCCACAGAAGGGCCGAGCGCTGAAGAGACAGCCCTCGCCCAGGGCGGCCGCGCCGTGTACATCTAGTTTCCTGAGGGTCGTTTTGCCGATGGCTCTCGGGCCGGAAAACCCGCCCCCAGAGTCCCCAGAGGCACAGAGTGAGGCACAGAATGGCGAGTTCTTCGAGCCGCCAGATCTATGCCCGGAGACTCGAAGCTTGAATTCCCAACAATCCTGTGGTGTTGGGTCCCCATTTTGAAAAGACAGCGCCCCGCGTCCCACCTCCTCCCGCCCTCCTCCCCTTCCTCCCTCCTCCCAGCCTTGCCTCTGCCTGTGCGTGCCCGTTACGGCACGCCCCTCACGCGCTTCGCAGCCTCAGATGGTGCTCCACCGAAGGCCCCAATGGCAGGGTTCGCATGCGGCCACCGCGTGTAGATTTCGGCACCCCCCTCACACGTTTCGTGGCCCATCTGTAGCGACTCCGCCGAGCCAGTGGCAGGGTTCACCCACCGCACGGCCAAGTCGGCGCACCTCTCACACGTCCTGTGGCCCCACAGTGAGCTCCCCCGAAGGCCCCCGTTGCAGGGGTGGCAGGGCTCCCACGCGCCCCCCTCGCCCGCCGAGATGGTCCAGTGGCACACCCTGCCTCTGGAGCGGTGGTCCTCAGGCTACCCTTCGACGTCCGGCGGAGGATGCCTTCGTCTCCAGAGATAGGGGAACAGAAAGTGGCATAAACATAACAACTCGGAGGTCCGCGCGGATTCCTCGGATCGGCGCGGGGCCCCCCCGGCGGCGCCTCCGGCGCCGCCCCTGGCGCGCTCCGCGCGCCAGGGAGGGGGGTCCAGCGCCGACCCGAGAAATCCGCGCGGACCTCCGAGTTGTTATGCTTATGTCACTTTTTGTTCCCCTAAGAGAGGCCTCGACGCAGGGCGCAGATGAGGAGGAGGAGGAGGAGGAGGGCAGGTCCCAGCCAGGTACCTCGCACGCTGCACGGCGGACGGGCCCCGCCCGCCGCACGCCATGCCGGCACATTCCCTTCGCGCGCTTCGTGGCCCCGTGCGCAGCTCCACTGGGAGGCCCCAGCGGCAGGGGCCGCATCCGGCTCCCCGCCCACCGCATGCTACTTACGCAGGCCGAAAGATTTCCCTCTTGAGCCCCACATGTCGGATATATTCCCGGGAAGTAAATGGATCCATCGTTTTCTCACACACAGGAAATTGGATCCGCGCAGCACAGAAATAGGATCCACGAAACTCTCCCACACCCGAAAAGGGATCCAATTGGATCCATTGATGTTCCCACATTTTAGTCCAAGAGGAAACAACTTTCGGCCTGGGGATGTACTTCGGAACACCCCCCGTCTCTTCGTGGCCCCAAAGGAAGCTCCACCGAAGGCCCCAATGGCAGGGCTCGCGTGCGGCTCCCCGTCCACCCCAAGTCCATTTCGGCACACCCCGCGAACGTTTCGTGGCCCCGTGGGGAGCTCCACAGAAGGCCCCAGTGGCAGGGTTCGCATGCGGCCCCCCGCCCACCTCATGCCAATTTCGGCGAAACCTTATATATTTGTTGATCCCCATAGGAAGCTCCACCGAAGGCCCCAGTGGCAGGGTTCACATGCAGCTCCCCGTCCACCGCATGTGCATCTCGGCACCCCCCTCACACGTTTCGTCGGCCCATGGGGAGCTCCACCGAAAGCTCCAGTGGCAGGGCATGTCCATGTTGGCACACCCCTCACTCGTTTCGTGACACTATACTGAGCTCCACCGAAGGCCCCATCACATGCGGCTCCCCGCACAACGCAAGTCGATTTCAGCACACCCCTCACACGTTTCGTGGCACCGTACGGAGCTCCACCGATTCCGCGCCCACCGCATGCCCATTTCGGCGCACCGTTCATACTTTTTGTGGCCCCATGGCAAGCTCCACCGAAGGCCCCAGTGGCAGGGGTCGCATCAGGCTCCCCGTCCACCGCATGTGCATTTCGGCACGCCCCTCACTTTTGCGTGGCACTATACTGAGCTCCAACGAAGGCCCCAGTGGCAGGGTTCACATGCGGCTCCCCGCCCACCGCATGAACATTTCGGCACACCCCTCACACGTTTCGTGATCTCAGAAGGGGCTCCACCGAAGCCCCGCCCACCGCATGCCCATTTCGGCACAGCCCTCGCACGTTTCGTGGCACTATACTGAGCTCCATCGAAGGCCCTAGTGGCAGGGCTCACATGCGGCGGCTCCCCGCCCACCGCATGTCAATTTCGACACCTCACACGTTTCGTGGCCCCATGAAGAGCTCCACCAAGGACGATACTCACAACAGCGTTACTCACAACTGCATCTGATGGGGTCCTGCGCCAGGATACTCTTTCAGCATGGAGGCCTGGACCCTGATCCCAGGACGGGCTCTTCATCCAAAGCCCCTCCTTGACGATTTCTGCCCTCGCGAGGGCCCACGGAGGCCGAACATATAATACATATACATATACATATATACATGAATATATATATATATATATATATATATATACATACATCGATGTGTATATATGTATACATAGGTGTACATATATATATATATATATATATATATATATGTCGGAGGTGAGGGGGTGAGATCGAAGTGGAACGGAGAGCCCCCGTACCGGGAAATCGATTTCGGTTTCGTGTTCGTGCGTGCCGTGCGGGCGAGGCGAAGCTGCGTGGGCTGGCGAGAAGAAAGTCTCCTGTGGCTGAGGCGCGGCCGGACCAAATGATTCTCCGCCGGGCGGCCGGTGGCGCGCGGTGTCCCGCCGGTGTCCCGCCGGTGTCCCGTCGGTGTCCCGTCGGTGTCCCGATGATGATGTGGATAATTATGATGATGATGATGATGATGATGATGATGATGATGATGATGATGATGATGATGATGATGAAAATGATGATGATGATGATGATGGTGATGATGATGATGGTGATGATGGCGATGATGATGATGATGATGATGATGATGATGATGGTGTTGTTGTTGATGATGATGATGATCATGACGTCGATTGTGAGATCGATTGTGACATCGATAGTGAGACCGAATGTGAGATCGATTGTGAGATCAATAGTCAGATCGATTGTGAGATCGATAGCCAGATCGATTGTGAGATGATGATGGGGATGATGGTGATGATGGTAATGATGGTGATGATGGTGATGATGGTGATGATAACGATGATGATGATGTTGATGATGCTGATGATGATGATGACGATGATGATGATGGTGATGCTGATGATGCTGATGATGATGAGGACGATGATGATGGTGATGATATGAGGATGATGATGGTGTCCCGATGATGATGATGATGATGATGATGATGATGATGATGATGATGATGATGATGATGATGATGATGATGTCGATGATGATTATGATGACGATGATGATGATGCTTATGATGATGCTGATGGTGTCCCGATGATGAGGATGAGGATGATCATGATGCTTATGTTGATGATCATGATGATGACGATGATTGTGTCCCGATGATGATGAGTATGATGATGATGTTGATGTTGATGATGCTGATTCTGATTGTGTCCCGATAATGATGATGATGTTGATGATGATGAGGTTGATGATGATTATGGCGTCCCGATGATGGTGATTATTCTGATGGTGATGATGATGATGATGATGATGATGATGATGATGATGATGATGATGATGATGTAGTGAGACCGAATGTGATATCGATTGCGAGATCGATTGTGAGATCGATAGTCAGATCAACTGTGAGATAGATCGAGTGAGATCGATTGTGGGATCGATCGAGGGATATCGATCGAGCGAGACCGATACTGAGATCGATAGTGAGATCGATAGTGAGACCGATCGAGTGAGACGTTGGTTCCTCCCCCCCCCCCGAACCTCCTTATCACCCGAAGGGTGGTCGTATAGGTATATAGTATAATCTATACATATATTATACTATATATACGTGTCTTGATTGTTTCACGACGCGAGGGGGTCTGGGGCCCCGGGGATCTCCCTGGGCTCCCCCCGTCGCCCCGGAGGCGTCCTCGGCCGAGAGGCTGCTCCAGGCCGGGCTGGCCGGCGCGGGCGGGGCCACGCGGGCTGCAGGCGCCGAGGCGGCGGCGGGCGCCTGGGGAGGGGGCATGGGGAGGGGGGGGGGGGGGGGGGGAGGGGAGGTGGAGGGGACGGAGGGGAGGGGGGGGGGAGGAGGTGGAGGGGAGGAGGAGGGAGGGGGAGGGGGGAGGGGAGGGAGGGGGGGCCAGAAGTGCCCGCGCGCGTCTCGCCAAGACCTTGCGTTATCAGAGCGCGTCGGGCCCGAATGTATATCCCCCTTGTCCCCAAAGTCCAGAGTGGACGGGTATGGGCGGCAGGGCAAGGGCCAGGGACAAAGCGTAGACCCTTCAGCTTTGGGCCTGGGAGGGAGGGGTGCGAGGCAAGGGCACTTCGCAATCGTGGCTGTTCTCATGTTCCGCCATCCACTGGTGTGGACACTTTTGGTCCGGGCACGGGAGGGAGTGGGAGGCAGAGAGGGGGGGGGCCTCCCGGGCCACGCCCGCCCCCCCCCCCCCCCCCCCGCCAGGTATGGCCACAGTTTGCCAGGCGGGGAGCCTATCGATGTCCACCGACTGAGGCACCCACGTCCTGGGACCCCGGCAGTGGACATTGATGCGAAGCACCCTGCAGCTGCGGAACAGAAGGAGGGGCCGAGCGCTGGGCGGGTCGCTGGGTGGGTCGCGGTGTGGGTGTGGGTCGCGGGGTGCGTCGCGGGGTGGGTCGCGGGGTGGCGTCGCGGGGTGCGTCGCGGGGTGGCGTCGCGGGCGGGCCCCGGGCGGGGACGACGACGACGCAGCAGCAGCAGCACAGCGAGAAGACTCCGCTGGACGGAGCGCCACCGCTGCTGCGCGCCCGGGCACAATGAATGACTGCTCGTCCCCCGCACCCTGAGTACCCAGACCCCAGACGTCGTGATGTTTGAAAGGCTTCGACCCCCAGAGGTCTCGATCCATGCCCCCGGGACCGGTTTTTCGTCCGGAGTCGTTTTTGTTGACGGCCCCGAGGCATAGCAAGAGCCCCCAGAGGCCGAGAACAGCGAAAAACCTCCCGTCGTGATGTTTTCACGTGACTGATGTTTTCACGTGAGTGAGCTGCGAGGAGGTCTCAAGCGGGAGCCCCCCCCCTCTTTTTGGTAATCCTGCCTCCCTTCTCATCCGCCTCCTCCTCCTCCTCCTCCTCCTCCTCCTCCTCCTCCTCCTCCTCCTCCTCCTCCTCTTACTCGTCCGCCCAATCCTCCTCATTCCTTCCTCCTCCGTCCTCCTCCTCCTCCTCCTCCTCCTCCTCCTCACCCCTCCTCCTCCTCCTCCTCCTCCTCCTCCTCCTCCTCCTCCTCCTCCTCCTCCTCCTCCTCCGTCTCCTCCTCCTCCTGCTCCTCCTCTTCCTCCTCCTCCTCCTCGTCCTCCCCCTCCTCCTCCTCCTCCTCGTCCGTTTCGGCAGGCACCAGGTGCAGGCCAGGGCGGCCTCTCCCTCCGACCCAGAGGCGCCCCAGGCGGCGGGAGGCCCCCAGGGAAGCCTGCAGCCGAAACTGCAATCAAAAGAACTATGATGCAAGAAGCCTGGGCCAGCTTCCCAGAGGTTTCATAAAACAAACCTGGGACAACTGCTTTTGTTCACGCTGGAGGGGGCGAGCAGTGCTCAAGAAACTGGGCCAGCGTTCTGGCAAGTTGGTCAGACAGCGCTGGCCCAGCTTTGCTGGACAACGTACCTTAAGCAGATACTCGACTGTAGAACGCCCCGCCAAAACCTCGAAGGCGCACCCCCCCTCTTCGTGCAGTCCTTAGGGGACGTTGCCCGCTGACCGCCCTGCACAAGGCGGCCTCTCCCTACATCCGAGGCGGGCTCGAGGCTTACCCTGGAGGGACAGCAAGGCACCCATGCCCCTGCTCCCCAAGCTTCTCCCCGAGCGCATCCCGACCAGGACTCTGAGGCAACTCCGGCAGCGACGCCGAGAGGGAAGGGCGGCGGCAACAGCACCTCTCCGTCCTCGGAGGCTCCACTGTGGACCTGGAGGAGGATGAGGAGGAGGAGGAGGAGGAGGAGGAGGTGACGCCACAAGCAGTATCACGGGACAGACGAGAGGCCCCCCGGAGAGAAGCACAGGGCCTGCACTCTCCTGGGGCGCCGCCGGCGCCTGGTTCAGGAGGCCTTCGGCCTCCCGAGAGGCGCCCTGCGGTCAGGAGCTTCGGCTCGCGGCAGGAGCTCGACCACAAGGAGGAGCCTTCCGCAAGAAGCCCAACCCTGAGACCCCAGGGTGTCGATCGGTTGCTGGTCTGGTGGCGTCACGTCTTCTACCGCAGAGCCGTCGAGGCCCAAGGGGCCCTGGGAACCCTGGAGGCAAGCAGGGTGTTTCTAGAGGAAAGAGAACTATGCACATACACCGATTCTGGCCAGGTCCATCCTGAACTCAGGATCGGTGCATACGCCATCCTGCCTTGTCCAGGAAGGTATACTGTATGCACCGATCCTGGGTCAAAGATGGGCCTGGCCAGGATCGGTGCATGTGCATAGTTCTCTTCGCCCGAGTTTCTTGGCTTTGGCTTCCACTGTGGCGTGTCGCGTCGGCGGCCCTGGCCGCTGTGCCCTGCGAGCGGGTGCCCTGCAAACGCACCGCGGCCGAAAATACTTCTCGGAAGCCCTGCCTCCTCTGAGCCGGCCTGCCCCCTCTCCCCCTTCCCCCCTCGCCTCGCCGCCGCGGAGGAGGAGGAGGAGGAGGAGGAGGAGGAGGAGGAGGAGGAGGAGGAGGAGGAGGAGGAGGAGGAGGAGGAGCGCGCAAGTCAAGAGTCGGTTCCCTGCGGCGCGCCCCGGCCAGGAACCCAAGGCCAGGGAGGAAAACTCGACACTGGTCGTGGGCAGCCTCCTCCAATGGGGGCTCCGAGAGGCGAGGCAGCCCATCAGCGGCCCCAGCGAAGGGGAGGCTCGTCGCGGCCGAGGCTGCTGCGGGCTGCGTGGCGGCGAGAGGGGGAAGCCCACCCAGGCGGAGCCCCACGGTCGGGGCTCGGCACGTCGCGGCGGCGGCGTGCGGCGACACGCTCTGCCGTCCGAGCGGCTGGCGCGTGTCGCTCGGCTCCGCGTGGCGGGAGGCTGGGAAGAGCTCGGGACGTTGGCGCTTGGAGATCGGGGCGTGGCCACAGTCAAAAGCCCCAATAAGGACGCGCGACTTTGCGCAGGGTACCCTTGCGTCCTCGCTCTTCCTTGCTCTTGCGTCCTTGAGGTTTTCGTCGTCCGCCGCCCCAAAAATCCCAACTTCGGCTTCCAAGGGTCTTGCGTCCTTACCGCGCGTCCTTATTAGGGTTTTTGACTGTAGCGTGTCGCGCCGAAGTGTGGCGGCAACGCCACCGCCGCCGCCGCCAGCCAGAAGCATGCCTCGAGGGAGGGGCTTCGAGTACCGGCTCGCCCTCGCCGCCGCTGTCGTCGAGGCCGAAGCGACGCCCCCGAGAGGCCCCAGGACACCCCCCACAACCACCTCCACGGGGCTCCCAAGAGGCCTCCCTGAAGGTCCCCACAGGCATCCGCGCGGCCGCTGACCTACACCCCAGGCGTAGTGCCAGGATGGGGCGTGCGCCGCTATAGCTTACGCCGCCGTCGCTGCCGTCGCCGCTGCCAGACAAACAGACGTCCCGAAGCGCGGACCTCGAGCGCGAGCTCCCCCCTTCCCCCTCCCCCTCCCCCCTCCCTATCGACCCTCGACCCTCGGACCTCGATCCTCGATCCTCGAGCCCTCCCCCCAGACCCCAGAAGCCATGATTTTCAATGATTTCTGACCCCCGAGGTCCCGACCCATTCCCCAGGACATGCTTTTCGCCCCGAGTCATCGCTTGACAATCCCGAGGCGTGGCGAGAACCGCGAAAAACCTTCCGTCGCAATTTCTGCATGACTCGACGGGGTTCTGGGCTCCCTCTTCCCCCCGGGTGCCTCGAGAGCGGGCCCGCCATCGCTGCCACTGTCCTCGAGGCCAAAGCGGCGCCGCTCGGCGGGCGACAGCGAGCTGAAGGCCGGGGGCGCCCGACGAGCGGCGGCGCCGCCTGGCGCCTTGCCCGGCGCCTCGCCCGGCCAAGGGAGGGCCAGGCCAGGAGCTCTTTCTCCTTCTCCTACTCCTCCTCCTGCTCCTTCCCCTGATCCTTTGCCTTCTCTTTCTCCTCCTCCTCCTCCTCCTCCTCCTCCTCCTCCTCCTCCTGCTCCTCCTCCTATTCCTCGTCCTCATGCTCCTTCTTCTCTGTCTCCTCCACCTGCTGCACGTGCTCCTCCTCCTCCTCCTCCTCCTCCCTCCTCCTCCTCCT